GTGAATTCTTTAGCATCCAACTATATGACACGATTTAATCTTGCTTTGATGATTCAGCTGATGCAATAGGATGGAATTGTGACAATTTATTATCATGTCATACCACATCGATTTGGAAAAGTAGCAGGTAGCACTCCATTCTGGTTAATCGGATGCCAGATGACAGAGTTGATGGCAATCATGTCTAAGGGTTTATTACTGCAAGACCATTACAGTTCCCAAAGAAGAAGACTGGGCTCAGTGTTTTCGGCACTATTTTCATTTCCCTTTGCTCAGGAGTGCATAAATAAAGGGAGGTGTCCTTCAGCCTCTCAATATTGTTCAGCTCAGATAGTACAGAAGAAGAATTTGCTGCCTGAGGCGACCAAGATGTATAAAATTCCTTAGTGGTATAGATTCTTCCCAACGAAGTAGGAAAGGGAGGAGGGAACGCCGTGTTCTATTCAGATTTCAGTGATTTTGGCTTTTAATAAAATTTCCCACCTATAATGAAAAGAATAAATACATTGCATCAGTGCCTCAGAGGCATCTAGGATTAGCTTGACAATTGACCAAGAGCCCGAGGAGCACATGTTATTGATATACACAACACGGCGCATTATTTGCAGAATTTACACTTGCATTGAGATCTTTCTACAGGCAGAATAAAGAACATGTTATAAAATCCACAATGAGTAGATACCCTGTTGTGAAAAGCTCTTCTGAAAGTTGGAGGGTTACATATCTCTATTCAGAAAATGATGATGTTGGTGATGACAGTAAAGCCAAGATGAACTCAAAGGAAGGGGAGGAGGGGCAGGGGAAAGAGGTAGAAGAATCTGATGGAAAGGACCATAATTAGTATGGTTCTTGTCATCAGCGCTGGATCTGAATGAATCCCAACTCAACCACTCCTTGGACAAGATACTTAACTTCCTTTATCTTTAGTTTCTCTAATTATTAGGCGGGAATAATTCTTTCAAGGTTATTGGGAAAACTGGAGATGAAGTAGGGAAGAGTACCAAGCCCAGGAACTACCATGGAGGAAGCATGCAATAAATGCTTTGCTGAAGTCAGCGCCATCATTCTGGCAGACACTGAATGTTGTACGAATGGGCCGAAGATGGCCTCTGGATATTGCCTGTATGTTGTTTCCTTTTTAGCAGCACGATGGGGTTCATGAGCTTGAAAGTCTGCCCATGCCAAATTCAAATTCTTACATACTCAATTGTTTCCCATATAAGCAGATTTTTTAACCTTTTAGAACCTGTCTGCCTTACACACCCTGCGAAACTACATTTAACATCTAGCCATAGATAAGACTGACCTGGGGTCCATAAAGGACTCGCAAAGCCACTGCTGCGCTACAGAGCTCCCCCACCCAGAAACTACCCACTGGGCTGCTGAGTGACACCTATGGGAGGAACCTATAACCTCCCTCTCTGATCTTCCTCTCCCCCAAGAGCTCCTTTGCCTTCCTCTTCTGGGTTGTGGTCTCCTATTGTAGTCTCTGGAAGGTCTCCTGCCGGGAGATTCCCCGCTCTATGGAGCCTGTCGAAGCACCACCATGCACAGCTCATTCTGTGCTGCTGCCACCTTGTGGTCACGTATTTTCCTTGGTCAACCCTGAAACCTCCCGATGCACAACAGTGAGATTTCAGACTTCACAGTAGAAGTGAGGCTGGGAAGACAAGGAGTAAGGAGGCTGTGGAACAAGGAAGAAAATGAAGCTAACTGAGGCCTTTTGAGCGCTGTACTACCCGCGAGGCTGTCCTAGGACATCTAACTTAATCCCTACCACAAACCCCATGGAGCGGGTATTGCTACTTAACACCTTACTGATGAAAAATCCAAGGCTTTGAGAGCCCAGGATGAGTTGCCCAAAGTCACACCGGTGGTTAAACAGCAGAGCAAGGGATTGAATGTAGCTTCACAGTCCTCCTAACGTGCCAGAATCCCTCTTCAAGTTTTCTTTTTCAAGCAACCTCTTTCTCCTCCTCCTCTAATTGGCTTGTGTCATCCTGGAGATGCCAGCTTGGTCCTAGTTCTCAAACATTTGTGGCTGAGAGAGCTTTGGAGATGCTTTGGCCCAAGCTGCATCTCTGTGGGCGTCTTGAGACCCAGGACAGCAAGTATATTTATTACCACTCCTGCTGTGGCAGATTTGATTTCTGGCTCTCATTAGGACTCAGGTTGTCTGCGGACTGGATTCCCTCTCTCCTCTCTCTCCAGTCGATTGTACAGATTGGAGGAAGAGCTTCAGTCATATCCTTTTGTTGCTTGGGAACCTTTGGAGGTCTCCACTGTCCATTGAATTGAGCACAGACTCCCCAGGATTGGGACTGGCTTTCTTCCTCTTCAACCACAGAACCACCAACAACTTGGTCTCTTCCCATAGAATCCGTACCTGTATCCACATGTATCTGGTCTTCCAGAAAGTTACCCAGTTCCCTTTCCTCCTCTCCAAGCCACTGGGTGATTAAATGAGAAAGTGCTACAAAAAGCAAGGCTTTAGTACAACTGTGAAGTTTTTTAGAGTCAAATTATAAATCCCCTATCTCTTTTATTTCCTTTTGGGATTGATCTTTAAAATTGAATTTCAAGCAGCAACTAGCTCATAGGGCTATTTTGATATGCAGAAGGTGGCTCTGATTTGAACAACCCCACTGCTTAATTCCCACCTCTTTCTGGTTCGTCTTGTACTGGGGCTTTGGGGCACGTATTCTACTACCTTTGAGATCTCTCTGAGGGCAGGATGTGTGTCTAACTTATCTTGTGCCCCTTGTGCCATCTTTGTCTTGATACTCAATAAATATTTAAGGTAAATGAATTGAGTTTAAGTGTCCATAATATACATGGCATTTTAGTAGAGTTGCTAAAGGCACCGAGTTGTAAGACTGGGCTCAGGCCTTCACGTTACCATGAGTTATCTCTGGAGTCTTGGCTACTGAACCTTAGTTTCCTCAAAAGCAAAATGCCAGTCCTGCTAAATGCCCTGTATGTGCTATCAGGATAGTGTGAGGGTCAAATGGGATAACACGTATGACAGGGCTCTGTGAACTGAGCTTCTCTGTCCACGTCCAGCCTTGCTTTGGGGCTCAGTGCATTCTGAGGACAGAGCTTTGGACTTGTTTCTCCCTTTCTGCTGTGACATTTAACTTATTTATTTATTATTGAAGTAGACTTGATTTACAGTGTTGTGTTAATTTCTGGTGTACAGCACAGTGATTCAGTTACACATTTATATATTCCTTTTCATATTCTTTTTCATTATAGGTTATTATAAGATACTGAATATAGTTCCCAGTGCTATATAGTTGGCTCTTATTGTTTGCCTATTTTAAATATAGTAGTTTGTATCTGCAAATCCCGACCTCCCAATTTATCCCTTCTCACCTCCTTCCCCCCCGGTAAACAT